AGGATACACACCCATAAGCACCGCGACTTCACTGTTCATGTTGATTGGGACCCCTTAGTGAGGTCACACTGTCAGGTTCCTACTACACAGTGACCCTCCCTGTGCCCTCCACACTGGCCTCTCTGGAGAGATGGCGCTGTGTGCAGCCCTCACCTAAGGACAGCATTGATTCTCAAGTGCAGGGCTACCCCACAGATCACAAACGAGCTTGGAACGTTCGTTTGTGGGATTGCTGGGATTGCATCATGCTATGTTTAAACATATGCCCTTTAGCATGCCCTTGTCATGGGAGACAATTGGGCAAGGCCTTAGTTTCCATTTCTAGCACTGCAAAAGAAAAATGAGTAAACAAAAGCTTAAAAGAAAAAAATTAAAGTTATGAGAATGTAATCCACACACTGTGGTGGTTTGACTAGGAATGCCTGCCCCCCCTCCCCTGGCCCATCTATTCAAATCCTTAGTCATCAAGGAGCGGCACTACTTGAGAAGAAGTAAAAGGTGTAGCCTTGTTGGAGTAAGTGTGACCTTGTTGGAGGAGGTGTGACACTGGGGATGGGCTTTGGGCTTCCAAAAGTCCAAGCCAGGCCCAGTGGCTCTGTCTCTCCCTGATTTCTGCAGATCTGGATAGAGAACGTTCAGCTCCTTCTCCAGCACCCGGTCTGCCTGTGTGCCTCCATGCTTCCTGACATGATGACAATGGACTAAACCTCTGAAACTGTGAGCCAGCCCTATTTAAATGCTTTCTTTTGTAAGAGTTGCCTTGGTCATGGTGTCTCCTCACAGCAATAAGACAGTGACTGAGATACTCCCCATACAATTCACTTGTTTATAGTATGTAAGTCAGTTTTTTGAATAATATCACAATCCACCCATCTCTCTCTCTCTCTCTCTCTCTCTCTCTCTCTCTCTCTCTCTCTCTCTCTCTCTCTGATGTTTTGAGACAATGACTCTGTATAGGATAGTTTTATGTTAATTTTACATAAGCTAAAGTCATTTGAGAAGAGGGAGCTTCAATTAAGAAAATGCCTCCAGAAGATCAGACTGTAGGCAAGCCTGCATGGCATTTTCTTAATTAGTGATTTATGGGGGAGGGTTCAGCCCTTGTAGGGGGTGCCATCCTTGGGCTAGTAGTCCTGGGCTCTTTAAGAAGACAGGCTGAGCAAGCTATGAGGAGCAAGCCAGTACACAGCACCCCCTCCACAGCCTCCGCATCAGCTCCCGCTGCAGGTTCCTGTCCTGCTTGAGTTCCTGCCCTCACTGCTTTTGATAATGAACTTTTATGTGGGACTGTGAGGAAATAAACCCTTTCCTCCCCATATTGCTTTTTGGTCATGGTGTTTCATCACAGCCATAGAAATCCTCACTAAGAAAGACTTTCTATTTCTCTATATAGTACTGGCTGGCCTGGAATTTTCTAGGAAGACAAAGCTGGCCTCAAACTTGCAGTGATTCTCCTGCTTCTGCCCCCAAATGCTGGGATTGCATCATGCTATGTTTAAACACATGCCCTTTAGCAGTCACACTCTTTGTCTCTGCCTCTCCAGGGTCTGTCAACCACTCATCTCTTTTCCGTCTTTGTGAATTTGCTTTTTCTGAGCATTTCCTGTAAGGGAACTGCGAGGTATGTGAATTTGTGCATCTGGTTCCTTTTACTTGATGCTGTATTTTAAGGTTCATTTGTGCTGGGGCTCGTGTCCATCCTTCATTCCCTTTTGTGGCTGTGTTTTTTTCAGGGGCGTGCCACATTCTGCTTGTCTACATATGGACTGTCAGGCATTTGGGTGGTTCCCACTTTGGGCTTCAGGAGTAACCGTGCTGTGAACTTTCCTGTGCAGGTTGTGTGTGTAGACACATGTTCTCATTTCTCTTGTGTGTGTCTCAGTAATGGGATGGGTGGGTCACCTGATAACCACACATGCTGTACGCAGAAGAGCAGCCACACTGCTTTCCAAAGGGGCTGTACCACTTTACATTCCCCATCGCAATGAAAGGGGCGTCCATCTGTCCACATTCTCACCAACACTTCCCGCTGTACCTTCTTCACTCTGGCAAGGATGGCTGCTGAGTCCTTGGTACCAGAGCTCCTCACCCTGTTTGCCTGTGGGGGTGGGGCAGACAGCCAGTGTATCTCTGTGTGGACAGAGTTACTGTTCTCATCGCTGGGGCTAAGTTCCTAAGAACCTCGAGGGAGGAAGGATGAATTTTGACTCAGTTATAGAAGGCTTTTGCCTCATGCTTGAGGGGAAGGTGTGGTGGCAGGAATGACGTTGTCTGTGGTCGCGGACGATGGTGTAGTCACACGCAGTTAGACCTGGAAGGGAGCTAGACAGGGACCAGAGGTGAGTACAACCTGCAAAGGGTTGTCCCCAGAGGCCCACATCTGCCAGATAAGCCCCAGGTCCTAAAACTTCCATGATCTCCCCAATGTGTGATGGAGAGCAAATATTCAAACACGTGCGACCGTGAGGGATGTTTCACACTCAGACCACAACAGCAGGCCCAGAATGGGAGCCGCTGCATTCCACTAATCTTGAAAACTGTGGGTCCCTTACCCATGAAGCTAGGGGAGGGGCCGTGCCAAGGTGGCTGCCTGCTCAGCTACGGCCTGGTATGGGGCCCTGCCAACACCGGCCTCTGCGGTGGCTTGTCTGGGCTGGCAGCTCCTGGTGTACTTGTGGTCTTCCCTTAAACAAGCAGTAGCTGAGTTTCCACTTACCTGGGTGCCTGCCACGCCTCTGTGCTTGTCCCACTGTATATGGGTGGCTAGAGTTAGGAGTGGTCTCAGTGTTCATACATACTCGCTGCCCCTCTTGGACCACCAGAGACGCTTTCCTGTCTGCCTTGAAGCATCAAGTGTCTGTGGGGTGCCTTAGGATCTCATCACGGGTCTTGCTTACTTGTTCTGATTCCATTTCTAACTCATGGCTGATGCCTATATAGACAGATGGTCCTCCATGTAGAGCAGGCTAACAAACCAACATAAGCTGAAACTACCATGTCAGATCTGGGCGGTGTAACCCAGGGATTGATGTTTGCCATGAGAGGTAGCCAGGGGTCAAGGCTTCAGGAACTCAAAGATGGGATTTTCTCCCAGAGAGCAACAAAAGGGTACCAATTAACGTCACCAAGTGGGAGGAGAGACATACTCAAGCCTTCCCCTACAAAAGTCCATCTAGCATGGTTGGATGAGGTGTCATGGGAAGTGAGAGCGAGCAGGAAGAGCAGGATGGTGGTGTCCCAGGAGCCAGAACAGGCTAGCCCAAGCTGGAACCAGGTGTCAAGAATGGATTATCAGGGCTGGTCAACAATAACACTGAAGAGCAGGAGTTATACCCCAAGGTTACCCCAGAACTAAGCAGGAGTTACACACCAAGTTATCCCAGAACGGAAGCGTTCTTCTCTATAATGCTAGATATTCAGCAGGTGCTCTACCGCTGAGCCACACTCCAGCCCCGAGACAAACATTTTAACCAAAAAGATGAAACAACCCTGGAGAGTTTGTTCTTCATCAACTTAAATGGCTCCGAGATGACCCAGCCTATGCCAGACCATGCAAGGTCCCACTGCCATTGCTCACAACAGAAGCAAAAGCAATGACCAGATGTGTCTGCCTGAGAAGCCACTTTCTGTTCCCTATCCCGTGACCTAATCCAGTCCACAGGACTCTGGGCCTTGGAGTGTGGTCCCTCTCCTCACCTCCTCAAGGCCACAGACACATCACACTCTATCAGTGACAGTCTTCAGAAGACACACTACTCTGCCTCCTGCACCTTGCCTTGGCCTGCTGTTCCTGTCTGAAAACCCCTTCCCACCCAGGGGTGTCCCTCATTTCAGCATCCTAGGCAAGCTCCCATCACTGTTTCATATTATTTTGAAATATTTTCTTTATTTCACCATTCAACACTGCTCCCAGGGCCTTCCTGAACAAAACAGCACAAAATTAGGTCAAAAAGAGGAAATGATGTAGGAACTGTGATATGCTCGGGGCAACTGCTGGCCTCACATGGCCCATATTTTACTTCTCCCTTTCCTTTTCTTGTTATGGTTAGGGGAAGGCACTTGGAAATAACGATAAAGTGTATGGAAAATACAAAACCCATTAATGGTCGTTGGTTAGCAATCAGGTATTCGGGACTGCAATGTATGTGTTATGATTTATTTGCTACAGCTGCTGCTATGGCACAAAGCCACCAGATAATAGGAATGAATTTTCAACTCCATCATAATCTTATTACCCATAACTGTAGACAGAGCATGCCTGGAGGAAAAGCTTGAAGAGGTCACAGTGGTGCCACCTGATACGATGTTGGAGCAGAGCCATGGAGTGTGCAGATCGGGGGAGAGCAGGTGGGTAAGGGGACAAGGGGGCTGGGTACCAAGGGGCACCAAGAAGGCCTGGTGACAGTGCAGTTGTGGGGTGTGGCTAACAATGATGGTCCCTGTAAACCTACACCCCACAGCGTGGCACAGAGAACACTGCTTAAAACACAGAGGAAGGGACGTCCAGCTTCTGTCCTCCCCGAGTGATCACAGAGGGGAAATTCCTGGTAGTTCTGGTGGGCCCTGGCCACATTCTCCACTAATCTTTGAGAGAACAGATCCACCTACTAGTGGGGACCGCTGTGGAAATCTCCAACCAGCATGCTGTGAGTCTGTGCCTCAGTGGGACCCTAGTCCCTTGCATATGGCAGCGACAGAGTGGCATGTGAATTTTGGACGTGCGTTTTCTGGGTTCTGTGTGCACACCGAGTGGCTGTAGCTTGCCCGCTGTAGACCTTACATAACAGAGGACTCCTGGAGCAGCATCTGGCAAAAGTGTATGCCATGCTGAATCACTCAATGGCCCCCACGCCCAGGGCAAACACAGGCTTCTTTCAAGGGCTGGCTAAGAGCCCACACAAACTTTCACAGGCCCATCTTGCAGTTCAGAACAGAACAAAACAGACAGCCCGCGACTTAATCTTCCAAACCTCTATGGAGGAGAGGTCCGGATTAAGCTGCACCCACATTTGAATATTGTTTTAGCTCATCACGCAAACTTCCTGGGCAAGGACTCGAGAGACCAAGTGGGCGGGAAGGAGGGTCTTTAAATGTGTCCTCTCTTGGATCTTGCTCATTCCAGGAGTTCCAGCTGCTGGAGGAGGCTGTGCAGAAGGTAATCTTTACCCATTGTCTTTACTTCATCTTTAGGTGCGAGCATGTAAGTACAGCCTGCTTGAAAGGGTCTTGAGAATCCGAGGCTTTCATCCATTCTGAGGACAATTTGGTCCAGACCCTGCCAGGCCAGCGTTTCCTGATTGGGTGCACCAGATCTCTGGAACTCTGTCATCTGCAACACTGGACCAAGAAAGTCCCAGAGACCCACAAAACACAAAAAAAGGTGGCTTCTTGGGGAGAGCTCTTGGTGTGCACAGTCAAGCTTCTCTGCTCCCTAGAAAAGGCATTGGGGCTGTGTAGCTGAGTACTCGTACCTTGGAGAGAGACGCTTGTGAGTTCAAAGCCTGGCTTCAGTGCCTGTCACCTGTGTGGGCAGAGGTGGCATGTTGAATGGTTTTCAGCCTTACCCTCCTCATCTGTGGAACAGACACATAACTGACCTTTCTTTCTGAGCACTAAAATCAATTAAAAATTGTATTTAAAAAATCAATCTGTCTCTGTCTCTCTACCTTTCTCTGTCTGTCTGTCTGTCTGTCTGTCTGTCTGTCTGTCTGTCTGTCTGTCTCTGTCTCTCTCGTGTGTGTGTGTGTGTGTGTGTGTGTGTGTGTGTGTGTGTCTGTGTGTCTGTGTGTCTGTGTGTGTGTGTGTGTAGACAGCTCTGGTTGTCACTCCCCATCTTCTACCTTGGTCAAGGCAGGGTCTACTCTCTTTTGTTGACTACTATCCAGATCCACCACGATAGCCGGCCTGTGGGGTTCTAGGGGTTTTCCTGTCTCTGTTTCCCATCCTTCAGCAGGGGTTGTGAGGTTTCAGAAATGTGCTACCACATCTGGCTTGTTATGGGTTCTTGGCATCCAAACTCAGGTCCTCATGCTTTCAAAGCAACTACTTTACCCACCCAGGCATCTCACCAGCTCTACTATGGAGGTTTTATGAGAACTGAGAGGGGAGCGGAATATGTCTAGAAGGCAGGTATAACCTACAAGGTGGGCTGGTTCTGAGAGAGGAAACCCAGTTTGTGTCCCATTCAGGTGCCAGGTGCAGCATCCAATGTGTTTCCACCCATCCTTCAGTAACTCTGTGAACAGCACTGTGGTTCACTGGCTCACAGAGGAGGCCCAGGGACCTAGCTTCTTCAAGACCATTCATTTTGGGAGATGACATTGAGGGGTGAGCTTAGACCAGTCCCGCTCACATGAGGCTCTTCCCCTCGTGGGTCCTCTACCTTGGTGATTTGTGACTGAGGCTGTGTGGCTCTGGTTAGACCACAAGGGTGGGAAGGGAAGTGTAACCTTGCTGCAGGGTTGCATGGATGAAGCTGTGGCCAGCAGGAAGGACCTGGCCCATAGGCTGGCCAGACCAAGAATTCCAATGAAGGAATTGCCCTGGTGGATCCTAAGGAATGGGGCATGGCATGTCCAGATTGAAGCCTGGATGCCAACAGGGTGCCTCTCCCCAGGGTGGGAAGTCTAAGGTTTGACGCCTATGGGTGAGGGAGGTGGGGTAAGGAATCTGAATACAAAATCAGGCATGTTCATGCACCCATGTCTAACATCATCAAATATTAATGTTATGTAATATTATATGGGGGATGGGCTTGGGCGGGGGAACTTGCTGTATTTCTGTACAATGGAATAACTTCTTCCACACTCCAGTGTTAAATGTTATACAGTGCTGGGCTGAATATCTCTGGAAGGACTGTGAGGGATTGGCATCAGTGGGCCTCTGTGTGGCAGAAATGACAGTTTCTTGGGAAGAGAAGGGGAAGTGTTTTTATCTGTTCCCTCTTTGTTCAGTGTCGTACCACGACCGTGTATTCTCCACTCAAAGACGCGACAAACATTCGGGAAAACGAGGTCATTGCAAAATGTCACACGCCGTGAAAAAATGAAAAATGAAAAGCAACAGCGCGCGGCTGGGGTGTGGTTCAGTGGTAGGGATACAGACCCTGGGAGAGGGAGAGACAGGGAAGGAGAGGGGGGAGGGAAAGAGAGGGAAGGAGAGGGGGGAGGGAGAGAGAGAGGGGGGGGAGAGAGAGGGACAGGGGGGAGAGAGAGAGAGAGGGAGAGAGGGGGAGGGGGAGGGGAAGAGGGAGGGGGAGGGGAAGAGGAAGGGGGATAGAGAGAGACAGCTCACCGATTATTTTACTCCCTCAGTGGCTGCCCCCCCTCACACTGGGGTTCCCTCACATTTCTTTAACTCATGCATGCACACTACACCTGTTGTTTGGGTGACATGTTTCTTTCTTCCCCAGGACACATGTGTGGCAGGCAGGGCCTTTGTGAATGTGCTTCATAGTTCTCTATCTTATTTCTAAATAATCCACTACACCACGCCACTGGGTTCATTTAAGCCGCCTCAGGCTGCGGTGCTAGGCTGTCCCCAGGATGTCTGGTACATGCTAACAGTAAGCACTTTCTTGTTGCTCCCTAAGGAGCTGCAGTTACTAGAAACTCCTACTCAGACCTCCAGGGCTGCAAATCCTTACTTAAAAAAAAAATTAATTATATATTTTTCAATGTAAAGGTTTATTTTCATTATTTTTAATTATGTGTATGTGTGTATCTCTGTGTGTATGTATGTGTGTGGTATGGTGTGTGTGTGCATGTGTGTGTGGTGGTGTGTGTATGTGTGTGTGTGTGTGTGCACACACACATGTGAGTGCAAGTACCTACAAAGGCATGGGACCCCCCTGGAGCTGGAGTTAACAGGTGAGGGGCTGGGAAGGCAATGTGAGTCTTTGAATGAGAAGTGCATGCTCTTAACCACTGGGCCATTTCCCAACCCCTACAAATACTTTCAAGAGGCTTCTTCTGGATATGGTCAAGTCCATGTTGTATGCCCCTCCCCGCTCCCCTCCAAGAGTCACCCCAGTTTGCCAGCTTCTTTATTGTACTGGAAGCAGAAATCACTTCTGCAATTTTGCACAAGAACTTGAGAGCCTGAAAGATCTTTGTTGGCACTGGCCTGTGTCACACTGGTGTGGACACATTGGTCTAAGCCTCGCTCAGCTTAGCCAGACAACCAGCACATTCGAGCACACTGGTGTAGCCAGCAAGGGTGTGTGGGAATTTTGGTGCTAGTTTTCCTTTAATTGGCTTGGGAGTGGAATCATGGTCTGTATGCATCCAGCCTAATCCAAAAAGGTCGTTGCAAGGCTCCTGGAGTGTTTACAGGGAAGGAAGCTGTCCCGTTTTGCAAGTGGGTCAGACCGGAGAATTGCCAAGAAGGGGCCCCCCCTTCCACCTTATGGCAAATTCTGTTTAGGATGGGTGTGGCTCTCTGTGGATTAGTGCCATCCAACCTGGGATGTCTAAAGACATCAGAAGGCCCAGCCATCTGAGCCAGAAAAAAGAGAGACTTTCCAGCGGGAATGCATTTTCCAGTCTCTAAGAGAGGTCTTTATCCAAACAAAATTAACGTAGTGGTGGACCACTGAGGGGTGAGCCAATGCCAGCGTGCTGGTGCCAAAGCACAGCCTGGAGCCGAGGATGTGGCCAGCCTCCTTCCTCTGCAACAAAATGCTCCCTATCTTCAGGTACAATGAGCAAGATCAGTGACGCCGTGAACCGGGCACGTGAGGCCTTTAACTCAGGCCGGACTCGCCCGCTGCAGTTCCGAATCCAGCAACTGGAGGCGCTGCGGCGCATGATCACCGAGCACCTACCAGAGATCACCGCGGCGCTGGCCTCCGATCTGCACAAGGTGCGGGTCCCGGGGTGGGCTTGGGGGGCCGGCTACAAAAAGGGACTAGCAGATACAACAGGCACAGGGACAGTCGCGCCTTGAGTGTAGGGCATCCGTTGCCCGCCGCCCAGCACTTCACCGAGGACGGCACTGCTCTGCAAAAACTGCGCCTGCAGCGGCGATGTTATAGAGGGGAAAGTGAGTCTCAGAAAGGATTGGCAAAGCTGGCAGGGTCGCCCTCTCCTTCCACCACCTCCGGACAGGGTCTTCTTCCCGCCACCTGTCGCTTTCCCTCTATGGTCTTGCTTCTTCATCGACTATATTTCAAGTACCCCCACCCCCACCACCACCACCACCACACACACACACACACA